TTAGCAGCTCCTCATCCTCCTCCTGCTCCGTCCGACGATGGCGGTTACTATTAAAAATAATAAATACACAAGATAAATTCTTCAGTCTGTCAAAAAGGGGATATTATTTACACATTACCTAAGTGGAGTCACAAGATTTTTATTACTATTAAAGAAAATAAATAAATATCACAATTTAAACTGCAATCATTTAAAAAACATATTACTGTGCATATTCTTAAAGTTGCTTACTTTTGCCAAAAAGGTTAACTTTATTAAAAACAACTATTAATAATTAATAAAAATCTTACTAAATTAAACTCTCTAAAAAATCATGGATATTTTGAAAAGTGGATAATTTTGCAAGAAAATTAAAAAGTCACTTTAAATATTCACCACATTAGAAATGAAAAACTATTTTAATTTTTTAAAAAAGATTGGGCACAGTAACAAAGCATCATCTTACTAAAAACTAATTTACTATATTAACCTCAAATTTAAAATGCAACATACAAATTTGTGGATTATTTTTTTTCTTTTCCTTTTTCAGTTGTATAATAAAGCAAGTTTTATAATTAGAAATATTTTATACAAAAATTTGAAAAACTGCAAGTGCATTTCTCGTATTTATATTTGTTAAAATTCTATTAATTGTTTTAGAAAGAGATATTTTCCACAGAAAAAAAATACATTATTATATAAACCTTTAAAAAGTGACTCAGCAGCATCACAAAATACAAATGTATAATACAAAACACAAAATACTCATGCAAGCATTTCAGTTGGGAAAAGTATGTGCAAACTCACTCTCCAGCAGACAGCAGGTTCTGCTTCTCATCTTTTTTAATACGAGGACGGCCAGGCTTCATCTTCAGAGGTGAAGTTGGGGTCTTCTGGGCTGCTGGTTGAATGAAATGAGCAAACACTTCTGTCTGCTTCAAGAGGTACTCAAATCTGTTGGTCCGGTCTGTTTGCTGTAGAATAAAAGCATAGGTCAACAATACACACAAAGCTACCAACTAATCAGCATTCTTATATAACAGCCAAATGCTTTTATAAACCAAGTAACTTTGATTGGTTAAATGTGCATTACCACTTTTTCCTCATATCCACCCAGCAGGTCCTTTCCCTTTGCTGAGGGAGGTGATGACGACTGTGCTTCACTATCCATAGCTGTATCTGATGCTTCATCATGGCCATTTTCTGAAGTATCATCCTTAAAGAGAAACAATAGAAACAATTCTGTTGAATTTATCAAGCTCTAATGTCAAGGTCACACTAGAGTTTGGGCATGTGAAATTCTGACGTAGGGCACTGCAAAAAAAGGCGGGATTAAAAAAAGATGGTTTAACATTTAAAAAGGCAAATGATTTCTATATATTGTATATTTCTGTCCAGAGAGGTCATGTTTTGTTTTTTGATTGGTCTCGTGCAGTCATGTGATTTCGCAGGTCAGAATTCACAACGCTTGAACTTTGCAGCGTAGTGAACTGCAAAACTTGTCGCATGAATGGAAGTCTATGAGGCGAAAAGTGAAGTAACCGTGGCTTAAAACTACACTAAAAAAAAAAAATATATATATATATATATATATATATATATATATATATATATATATATATATATATATATATATATAAATGTGTGTGTGTTATATTAAAAGTAATATTAGCAACTATTTTTAAAGTTTCAAAATACAATTTAGATCAATCTGCTTTTATTGTATGTTTATTATTATGCAAGTTATGTTAAACAGGTCTCAGAAAATAAAGGAAGAGATAATTTTTCATATTCATTTCAAGAATAAATTTATTCAGCTAAAACCCAGTTATTTGTGGTTTGAATTTTAGACAAGAAAGTTGTGATTAAATGTAAGAAACAAAAGATCAAGACTTCTAATAGGTTATGATACAATTGAAAAAAAAAACCTCAAAAATATAAAGAACAAATCCTAATTCATATTAACATCAATAAATTTATATAGAAATAAGACTTTGGATTTTAATTTCATCCCAACTTAAATAAAAAGCTTTGTTTTCACTCAAGCCATATGATTGGACCAATTTTGGAAACGCCCACAAGTACAAAATGACGCCATCCGTATTTATTTTCTGGAAGTGAAACTAACATTTTAATCGCGTATATGTAATTAAATATAGTTGTCAAATGGAAGTACAATAACAATATAGAAATAACTTATACTAAAAGTGTATATAATATAATAAAATAATAAAATTGTGCCAAAATATCGATTAGAAAACATTACTTTGCTGTTATGAAGAGAACCTGACCGTTGACGACCGTTAAGGCAAGTCAAATCTCTCAACCCGAAGTTCATTTTCAAAGCACTACAAACTATATAGTTCAACTAAATATAAATTTAGTTGTTTACAGTTACAACAATATACAATCGATTTTTACAACTAAATAAGCAGTAGATATAAATACATGCCATCGTGGGGTGACATTTAACACATCACATCATTGAGTGGCGGGTAATTCCCAGTTCAGCCTCACACCACAGAAACTTCACACGAGAAATCTCAAACAAGTTAATTTGTATTAGCGAAATAAAGTATAGAGTATGAAAACCCCAAACTGACAACTGCTCCTCAAGCAATAGGTTTTTATATCCGCCAGATTCATGTAGCAAATCCTGGATTTATTTTATATAACGTTACTCCTTTGTAAGTTACGTTAGAAGTAACAGCAAAATAACACAATAGTGCGTCCTATTTTGTTCATTTAGAGGTAAACAACACATCAAGCAGGGTGTTTTTCTCACCGCATCCCTGAATCTGTCAATCTACCAATGTTAAAAAGTGATCTGAGGTTGTTATGAGTGTGAAAATGGACGCCGATCTGCTCATCTATTCATCCGAGCAGGAACAATGCATGCTAACAAAAACTTTGAGGCGCGCTCTCGTGAGACGCGTGAAGACGTTTCGACGACGCTTCATTTCCAGATCCATCAGTCTGTGTTTAATAGTACCAGACGATTTATAAAGTCATAATCGGTGTTATTTGGTGTTGATGGACCCCTCACCTCTGCCGGACCGGCCGGGTCGAGTTGGCTCGGCTCTTCTTCCCGCTGCTGCTCCATGCTGCTTTCTGTTTGTGACATGATAGGCTGGATAATTCCGTTATTTCGCGATGGATCCGAGTTTTTCCGTTAAAAATATGTCAGATAAGCCGAAAAAGTATATTGGTTTGATTGGAAAGTTTCAAAATATTGCCCAAATTGAGCAAGCGCACCACGCGTCATTCACGGTCCCCGGCTTTTCTGTTGACACCGTTCCCGCAAAACGGGCCCGGCTGTAGAAAATCGCGAGACTTTCACACCAATGACGTCACACAAACAGGGAAATGCAAACAAAAAGCTGTAAAACCGATGTATTTGTTTGACACACTTAAGTTATTGTGAATTAGCAAGGCCTAGTATTATTTGTAATATTTTTAATATATATATTTGTTAAATAATTATTGAATCTATGTACTTATATTTAACTATGTTATACTTTTCATATATATTTTTATGTACACCCCCGACATTGTTCTGTTTATGTCTTTCATGCATTACAAATAAAAAATATATAGTTCTATTATGTACATCTCTAGATCTGGTAACCTTTTTTCTCTGGGGTTTTTTATTATTATTTCTATCGTTTTCTGGCTGCTCTTGGTTCTTTTTCTTTATTGGTACCATTGTAATACTCTAACTGTTATTGTTGTAAATACTGTGTACAAAATTAATTAATTTTCTCCTCTAAATGTTCAAATAAAGCATTTAAAAAACACATAATTTTATTATGGTTTCTAGAAAATATTGAGATTTATATTAAATCATAAATGCAACTGAAACATTGAATGTATGTTCACTTTTAGGGGTCTTTGAATAATTAATAAATTATTGAATAAATCATTTAATAAAGTTTAGTTTTACCTCATTTGACTTTTTCATATGAAATTTTATATATTTTTATTTATACATGTTTATTTGTGATTAATGCATTTATTTATCTATTTTTTTCCCTCTCTTCCTATTGATAATTATCATTCCCAAACCCTACCTCTTTATTTGACATTTGTCATTCTCTTCACATTTTCAGAGACAAGGCTTGGAAAAAAATGAATAAATAAATATTTTTTATTCTTTTATTTTTTTATCATTAATCAAACTAAATCATATTCAATATTTTGTATTTATTATTATTATTATTATTTATTAGGTTTCATTAAAATATTCGTTTATATTGATACAAATTTTTTATTTATTTTGTTTTATAAATTTTTTTATAAAAAATTGTAATTACATTCGCTCTTTTTATGCTTTTTCTGTTTGAAAACCCCTGCCCTACAGTATAATAATAATAATAATAATAATAATAATAATTATTATTATTATTATTATTATAATAAGAAGAAGAAGAAGAATAGGAAAAATAATCCCAGCATACTTTTTTCTTTCTTATAATTTTATATTTTATATATATATATATATATATATATATATTTATACACAACCATTTTTGTGGGATTTCTAAGTCAGAAAAAATCAAAGTAATGTAAAAAATATTTATTTTCTTATGTATTTTCTTTAATAATTAATTTTTAATATCTTCACTGAATTTATAACAGGATTCGAACATAACTCAAAGCTAATTTACCATAAATTATCTCAGAATTGCAAATATTAATAATGTGTTTGTCTATAAACTTTTTATAATATTTTTAGTCATTTATGATATATTTATAAATATAGCCATAATATTTTTTGTTTTATAATATAATATAATAATATTCAAAGTTGTAAAAATGTAATAATATCAGAGGAACCAACATACCTTTTCTAATGTAATTTCTATCCTAATAAATTTGTAAATAACTTTCAACATCTTAACTGACTATAACAGGATTCAACCATAAAACAAAGCTAAATCCCCCTAAATCATCTCAGCATTGTCAATAATATTAATAATGTAGTGTTTGTCCCGCTCCCTCTCTCTCTCTCTCTCTATAAGCTCGCGCTGAGGAGTCTTGTGTGTGAGCGCGCGCGGCGTTTCGCGCAGCAGAATTAAACCAGATCATTTTTTAACACAGATACATGTTCCGTTTTCAGGTAAATGCTTCCGCTTTTTACATTGTATATGTCTCAATTGCTGTAGTACTAGAAAAGTAATGTAAAAGTGCTGTTTAGAAGATGTACACTTTGATTTTGATGGAATATCACGGCTTTGTTTTTCATCAGTACAGTTAGCGGGCTAAAATTGTTTGTGAGACCCGACCATCAGTTTTCTCTGCTGCCGATGGTGAATAAGACATAAAATGTTTCCGAGATACCTTAACAGCTTACTGTCCTTAGCTAAAACCGGCTGTTTTGCGTTAAGTGTCTCCCAGATGTGTGATATTAAGCCTTTGGCCTTGTTAGCATGCTAGCGAGGCCGTGCTAGTACGTCTAGTACTAACTAAACAGGGTAAATGCACTGAAATCACTTTCATTTCTCTGGATTGTTCTTATTCTTTATCTGGTGACTGCGAGCGTGATATTATTAATGGCTTTAGTAAGATTAAAAGTGATAACGTTAAGTAATTAGAGCAGAGATATGATGATATCATATTAGCAGCCAATGACTATCAAAGTACGACAGTCAAATAAATAATGCTAATGTTGTTTTCAAGTCATACTTGCATGTGATTTCAGACCGAATATTTTAAGTAGCATATTACACAATACAGGGAGCAGGTCACAAGTTGTCACTGAACAAATGTGCTAATATAAAATCAACTTTACCTTAATTTTGTCAAGTATGTAAACTTTTAAAGAAGGAGCACAAGTATGTGCAAACTATTAAAGGTTTGTACATTGAAATTGTTGACACATAAATATCTAGGGCCGTTATTGACAGTATGTTGACATTCCAACCTAACACTCAGGCTGTCTATAAAAAAGTTCAACCAAGACAACAAAACGATGATCGCTTTGGGTTTGTACCTCTATGATGACACTGTTTCATAGGCAATTTATTGAATCTGTTTTATCTTTCTGCATTGTCACTTGTTACAATAATCCGAGTCTTTCATATAAGAACAGGTTAAGTAGCCTTATGAAGGTGAAAGTCATGGGACGATAACCGTTTTCACGGTATACCATGGTTTGGAAAAGTCAAGGTTTTCAAACCAACAAAATTTTCTGCTATACCGTTCCTATGGTATATGATGGATTTTTTTATTTACGTATTTTTCTATCTTTATTTTTCTATCGCTATTTACTATCTCCAATAAAGATATTCAAAGATGCCGATTTAAGTTATAAAGAAATCTGTTTTTGAAATTAGAGCAGAATTCAATGATTCATTTGAATTATTTCGCCTGACATGTTTACTGCTCCAAAATATTTTAAATGTTTCTCAAAATAAAATATATTGTGTTGAAAGAGGTAAAAAGTTGTTGTTTTTTACCCAGACATTTACAAAATAGCATATTTTAGAGCAGTAATTGCAATACCGTGAAACCGTGATATTTTTATCCAAGGTTATCATAACGTCAGAATCTTATACTGGCCCATGCCTAGAAGGTGGCAGGCAAAATCATCAGTTTTAACCAAACTAGTGCAATGGTAATTTACTGTAATTATCTTACAGCAGAGATACCCAAAGTAGGGCCCACCTTCCCATCTGAAAGGAGAATGAGAATGATCGAGAGGTTGGGGCGAATGCCTTTAACACAGAGATCATCATTTCTAATTTGACGTGACTTTTTTTATTATTATTTGTTTCATTGCTTTTTTTTTAATTGTATTTAGAGCAAACTAAAATGAAATGTTTCAATTAAATGTTATAAATTAATCTTATTTTTTTAAAATGTAAATTTTGTCACTCGATGGAAAGAGGACTATGCCGTAGACATCGATGAGCAAATCAAGCCAAAACTAGTTTAATTCTGTTATAAATGAGATTGTTTTTTTGATTTAATAAGTTCATTATAAAATATCAAAACAAATACTGTATTAGTTAGTTAATATAATTCAATTCAATTTAGTTATAAAGCACTTTAAAACAACACAGTTGACCAAAGTGCTGACAACAAAGAGAAAAACAAACTTTCAAATACAAATAAATAAACATAAAATGTCAACATCTCAAGCTGTGCTAAAAGCCAAATTGAACAGGTGGGTTTTAAGAAGAGATTTAAAAACAGTGATGGAAGAGGCTTGTCTAATGTACAACGGCAGCTCATTCCACAATTTTGGTGCAGCTACAGCAAAGCCCGATCCCCTCTGAGCTTTCGACTGGTCCTGGGCACACCCAGGAGGAGCTGGTCGGCTGACCTGAGCAAACGATAAGGTGTGTATTGACAGAGAAGCTCAGAGAGGTAAAGGGGTGCAGCACCATTTAGACACTTAAAAACAAATAAAAGTACGTTAAAATGGATGCTGAAGTGCACGGGCAGCCAGTGAAGAGAAGATAAAATCGGGGTGATGTGCTCGTATTTGCGTGTGCCAGTTAAAACACGTGCAGCTGCATTCTGAACCAGTTGCAGTCAAGAGATCAAAGACTGACTCACCCCAAAATAAAGGGCATTACAGTAGTCCAAACGGGAAGTTATAAAAGCATGGATCACGTGACGTTTCAAAGTGCTTGTGCGATAAAACATGCTTAATTTTGGCCAGTTGTCGTAAGTGAAAGAAGCTAGAGCGAACAACAGACCGAATTTGGCTTTCAAGCTTTAGTTCAGGATCCATATTAAAACCCAAGTTCACAATCTCTGGCTTACAAAAAGTTTCGAGATTATTTAGTTGTTCAGAAGGCAATGCTTTCTAGTTATTGTTAAACATTATTAAATAAATTGGGAAATTGCCCATGGCAATATTTACCTTCAGCCCACTAGCCTCAATCAAATTTGGTTTTTGACCCATCATAACGAAAAATCTGGGCATCCCTGCCTTAAAGAGAGCTCAGGGTATCTTATGCACCCCAGATCACTCATTGTATTCTGTGTTTCAGCTGCTGCCATCAGGACGTCGTTTTAGAGTTCCTATATGCAGGATAAACAGAATTAGCAATTCTTTTATTATGGTGGTCATTAAATGAGTCCAGCGGGGATGGAGATGCATCTAAAAATGATTTATTGTATTTTTTGTGGTAATAATTTGGTAATGTGTACATGGAACTTCGCCTGTGTTATGGCACCTTGTTGCATTTTTAGTTTCTTTAAGCGGAGTGATAAGGTTGAGTCTAAGTCTGACATGTATGGTATTATAGCAACAGCATGGATACAGCTTCATTTTTCCACCTATGTATATGCCCTTACCCTTCTGTGACATAGAATATTTACACTGTTTTGCTTCTGTATTGTTTTGTAGTCTCTTGACGATGACTGCACCCTGGAGGAGGAGGAAGGGTTGGTAGAGGAGGAAGATGAAATCGACCAGTTCAACGATGACACTTTCGGTGCAGGGGCAATCGGTAAGTCTTCAGGCAAAGCTTAATCCTTGCGTTACTTTCCTTGTGTATGTTATATTATGTTGGTGCCTGTTTTGACTTTCATTATAATGATATTTTTTGATATAATCATGCTTTTTTGACTGTTCCTGGTTTTCCCTGTAGGGAATAGGTACAATTTGTCATTGTTGTTGATCATTTAGTTGACACCATTAAACTTTAGATAGACCTGTGCAAAAAAAATAGTTTCTGGCGTTTACATTGAGTTCTGTGGTGTATAAATGCTGATTATCATGTGCATGCATAATTACATGGACTACGTTTAATATATTCTGAGAGCTGAGCTGCTTATTTAGATTTTCTCAGACATATCAGGGGTCTCTCACACACGTAAACACACACTAATCTCTATATAACTTCATATCAAAGTCAAAAATGTTTTTGCACTGCAACTGATGATCAACAGTAAAATTGTACTAATCTTCCCTACAGGAAAACACACCAACAATCAAGAACACATGATTATTTGGTATCATGGGTTTGCAATTAAAAAATGTCATTTTAATGGAAGTTAATGAGGCAAAAACAGCCACCAACATAATGAACATTCATTACGTTACAATTTTCCCCAAAAATGTGTCAAAATAGGATTTGTCAAAAATCCTTTAATTTGCTGAAACACAGGTACATGATATGCAAGATATTGTTGCATAAATCAACATAACGTAATGTCGATCATGGCAGGGGGAGCGCCTTGCATGATCTCGCACAGCAGACCATCAGTGACATTGAAACAGTTAAAGCTTATATTTAACTAGTGTGTTCAAGTGATTTCAAACCTTTGAGTTTCTTTTGCTAATTTTGCTAATGAGACATTATTAAAAATGTCTACCTGTTGTGTTTAAGAAACTTAAGAAGCAAACTGAAAGTTTTGAAACAAGTAAGTTGAAGTAAATGAATTAAAAAAATTCCAATTATCACTTTTAAGCAGTTGTTCCATCTCTGCTGTGTTAGTTTCATGATCGCACATTGGCTATTATCAATTGTTGTTTTAAGTATATAGTCATCATCATAGTCTTAAAATAAAAATAAATCAACAATCCTTCAAGTATCAGACTTGTTTAATATGACCAGAGTGGCCCTGATGTTTCTTCAAGCCGATTGTAAGATTTAAGTTTTGGACTGTAAATGCTCACATTACCAAATAATCTGGCCACCAACACAATCTGGGAACCCACCAAGGTCCTGGACAAGATTTATTTTTCTTAGACTGTTGGGGTGGGTACTTAAAGGCTAAACCTTCTCAAAAGTCCTGCAGAGTGAGCCTCGATTATTTATTTATTTACTTATTTTTTAGTCATATAATGTAATTTCCCCCACCCCAGTTTGTTTCTCTGAATTAAAAAGTCTTCTTTTTCTATTAGCTCTATATTCTTGCTATAAAATAACACACTAGGGCTGTGCAATGACAATATATATTGAATGGACAAAATAAAAAGTCTGTCGTTTCATATTACTCCCCATTCACACGGGGCTTCAGCGTCACACTTGACTGAAGATGTGTCTGAAGTTGGGGCTGAATCGATCGTTCATCATAGAAGCGTCAGCCAAAGAAAATTCCATCAGCAATAGGCCACTGTCTAGCTGGTGTATTTGCATACAGCGATCTGATGGGCTGATGGCTGACGCCGTCAGGGCTTGAAAAGTTAAGCTAGTCCCAACTTTTGCAATGAGCAACGCCTCTGAAGCGGCGCTGACGGATCCACAATGCAGTTCGGCAACGCCTAACGTCGCTTATTTAAAGTGAATGAGAAGCGTTGACGCTGACGCCCTGTGTGAATGGAGTGTTATGCTCCATCGTTTATTTCTTGTTTTCATAAAATACATTGTTTTTATGGTAGTGCTTATTTATAATTTAAATTAGCACAATTTTGTACGCCGTTACAGGGATGCAGACATGAATAACAGAATAGTTGCAATATTTAAAGTACAATTTTTACATTTGGCATTTTATTTAGTAATATTCGTTTTTATGCTGGAGCTGTAATCATTCATTTTATAAAGTGTTTTGTATTTTATAGATGTATTTTATATTCTCTATTTTATATTCATCACTTTTAATCTGACATTTACCCTGACTTTCTAAATAAAATGACGAATATGATTACGCATAAATGAGTACATTTCTCAGTACATACTTTAAAATGTAGAAAAAGAAATAGCCCTTTACATGTGGTCAGTTTATGTATAAAAAAGAATTGGTTGGATTTAAAGAAATGTACTATATTGTGATTATAAATGAGATGACTTGTATCATGCTGTGAGATTTTGTCAAATTGGACAGCCCTACAGAACACTTTATAAGACATAAAATCCTGATGTATAAAATATAATAAAACATGAAGCTATTTAATTTTTGTGCATTGTGTCTAAAGCCTAAATAAAATGTAAGCACAATATTTTTTCTGGCTATTCATATGCTATGTATCAAATTGCAGTGTAACCTTATTAAAATGCGTTCCTCTTTAGATGATGATTGGCAGGAGGAGCACACCCGCCTCGCTGAGCTCGATGAGCGTGTGCGAGACGTGCTGCCAGGAGCCGGCGACAGTGACACCAGTCATGCTGGCAGCAATGCCCACTCTTCGGTTCTCCCTCCACCTTCCTCTTCCTCCCGGCTATACCCTGACATAGATGAACGGGGCGGCGGTGACCTGGCGGAGTCGCTTACTCGCCTCATCCTGGGTTCAGATCCTGCCATAGCTGGTGTGGGCAGCGCCAGCTCAGACAGATCTCACCTTCCTCCGATGCTGTCCGCTCAGCCTCCGCATCCGTCAGCATTAGCCGGACCGTCTTCTCTGCTGCGGAGCTACCAGCAGCATCAGCAGTTCCTGCATAGGGGACCAGCTCCTCTTTCACAGGTTTGTCTGATAGTTTTTTAGTGAAACAGTATCTCCAGCAGAAAAAGGACCTTCCACATCAAAAGCCAGTGGTCAGCCCATGATTTAGCAAACATTTGAAAAGCAAATCGCTTATGCACCAACATCCAAGCCTGCTAAAGACCTGAGCAGTGCAGTGGCTTTACTTTATATTCAAAGAAAAAGAAAAGATACTCAAATATGGCCTTTAAAGTTGTTAAGAAATATGTGTACTTTTAAACTAATGAAGACAGCAAAAGTCATTAGCTATGTTTCCATCCAAAAATGCGAATAAACTTAATGCGCAAAACTGGATTATCGCATAAATGTTGTGCGAATGAAGCATTGTTTCCATCCAACGAGTCAAAGCGAACAAAATCGTCACTTCCTGATTAACTGGTGCCAAATATCAACAGTAAAAACTGAATTTGCTGCAGTAGAAGCTGCATCAGTCTTTTCTAAATGAATGCGCCTCAGAAGACAATCCTGACAAGCAGTGAGCGTGCAGTGGCGTTTGAAGGTGTCAGACATGGAGCACAGGCGCTCTTGATTCTGGAGGTCATTAATAATATAATAACATTAATACTAAAATGGTTAGGCGTTTTATAATGACCAAAACAACATTTCAGATGTTTTATAATGTGCTTAGCCTGACGTTTTATCCATTCACACAGAAGTATCACATGATCTCTTTTAACAAAATCACATGACATTTTTTTAATGCGCATGCTGGAGTTTGTGCGGTAAAAGTGTTTCCATCGCAGTTTATGCGCATCTTTTCTTATCGAATAAAAAGTTTATCTTACCCAGTTAGGCGCATACGTTTTTTTATGCGCATTTTCAAAATTTATGCGCATGAAGGCGTTTCCATTATTTGCAAAATGCGCATAAAATAGGTGGATGGAAACATAGCTAATGATTTATTTGAATTATTTAGCCTGGCATGTTTACTGTTTCAAAATATTTTAAATGTTTCTTAAAATAAAATGTATTGTGTTCAATTTGAAAAAAAGTTTACAATCACAATACTGTGAAAACGTGATCTTTTTATCCAAGATTATCACTCCATCAGAATCTTACACCGGCCCATGCCTAATTAAATGCTTTCAGTGAAGGTAAATATATGTTAATACTATAGAGCCAGATCAAAAATACATTTACAAAATAAAATTCATTGAAATTGATCTCTTCATAATGCAAGGCAATGAGTATTTGGTTATCGCAGGTTTAAATAGTATTTTTTTCTTTAGTCTCTCCTATAAAACTAAATCCCGAAGTGCTTAATAATGACATCGCAACCTATCATGTTAGTGATAAAGTAAATCCAGGAGGTTGTTATCGCAGAATAAAGCCCAACAGGCTTATTGGCAGCCTGTGTAAGACTGCAAAACAACCGTCCTGAATGTACTTTATCCTACTTATTAAATGTCTACCTGCCACAAAACATAAAAAATAGACACAAAAGTTGTTCTGAGCCATAATAATTTATTAATTGATTAATTAAATGAAACGAGAACAGCTGATGGTAACCTGCGCATTATTCAGTCACAAGATGGCACCAAAGAGTTGAAAACGCTAAGCTGACAGAAACAAAATACTAGCATGCTAATCTAAGTATTATTAATTTACAAGACACTACCAAACAGTCAAAAACCAAAGCTGGACACACAAGCAGATACATAAAAAATGTGTATTTAAGTGTATGTATGTGAATATATTCACTGATGTCAAGATGATTAGAGGTTTCCAGATGAGCCCGTGTTATTTAGAGGCTGTTAACTGGGAATAACATGTCTTGGAATGTTGCGACTGACTAATCAGAATTGAGTATTCCAGACAGCCGTGTCATAATCACTCTTTTTAATCTATTATAATAGCATTTTGCTATTTCATTCCTGAATAATATACAACATTTAATATTTTCCTTTTTCTTTCCTTCATAGATAAACTCTCACAGTATTTGGGAGAACAGTATGGGCTTCAGTCCTGTCAGTGTTAACTCTGGACTAATCGGTCAAAAAGAGGTAAAGCACTCTTGCTTACGAAACGCTTTCTCAAGTGTGCTGTAAAGTCTTCCAGTGCTGTTCTTCTAAACTCCTCTGCTTCACTCCTTAGGACAAAACACTACTGTCCATTATCAAGGAGGTCGGGCTTCCGAATCGGCCTCCCTCGCTGAGCAGAGATGAAGGGCGTGATTTGTCTGAACGGGTTCCGCCTCCTCGTTCCAGCTCACCAGTGATTGGAAGCCCACCGGTAAGGGCTGTACCTATTGGAACACCCCCGAAACAGCCTATGAGTCAAATCCTCAATCAGCAGGTAAGAAGATAATCCCTGAAAGCATGTATTATTATGTGCTTTTTTTCTGTTTTATACAATTGAAAAGTTTGGACTCCCTTAAATCTTTTATTTTTTGGACAAAGTAATACTTTCATTCATCAACTGGTTGCATTAACTGAATAAGATATCAGTTGTTCTTTTTTAAATTGTTAAAAGAGTTTATTTTAAATGTGTTCCCTTAAGCTGTCTTTTGATCAAGGGTCATAGGATGAACTAAAATGCTTATTTAATGTACAATAAACAATACAACATGTTCTTTGAGAACCAAATCAGCATTATAAAATGGTTTCTGAAGGATCACTTAACATGATTAACTGCTAAAAATTACAGAAATTACATGCTAGAAATAAAATACACGACATCTCTAGGACCAGTCATCCAGAAACATGGATCTTCCTACCACTGCTATGCTGATGATACCCAGCTATACCTCTCTTTTCATCCTGATGATCCCTCGGTTCCAGTTCACATCTCAGCCTGCCTGTCGGACATTTCACACTGGATGAAAGATCATCATCTGCAGCTTAACCTCGCAAAAACGGAAATGCTTGTAGTTTCTGCCAACCCGACTCTACACCATAACTTTTCAATCCGGATGGATGGGGAAAACCTTACTGCATCCAAAATGGTGAAAAGCCTTAGAGTAACAATGGATGACCAACTAAACTTCTCTGACCACATTTCTAGAACTGCTCGATCGTGCAGATTCACACTCCATAACATCAGAATGATCCGACCCTTCTTATCTGAACATGCAGCTCAACTCCTTGTTCAAGCTCTTGTTCTCTCCAGATTAGATTACTGCAACTCTCTACTAGCGGGGCTTCCAGCGAACTCTATCAAGCCTCCTGCTCAAGCCTCAAGCTATCCTGCCAGTTGCTGCTCACATCAAATTCAAAGATGTTTGCCTACAAAGCGACTTCTGGCTTTGCTCCTTCTTATCTGCTCTCACTTCTGCAGATCTATGTGCCCTCCAGAAACTTGCGTTCTGTGAATGAACGTCGCCTCGTGGTTCCATCCCAAAGAGGGAAGGAATCACTTTCCTGCATCAGAATGGCAGAGTCACTCGCTGTTTTTAAGAAACGACTAAAAACTCAACTATTTAGCCTCCACTTCACTTCCTAATCTGCAATTGCCTCTCAATATACCACTAACTGTACTCCAAAAATAATAATAATAATAATAATTTTTACTAATAAAAACTATTTTTTATGTTTTATTGTAATATTATGCTATTTATTATAGCATTATTGCATAATATTATATTAATTTAAAATTATGCAAAAACCATTTGTTTTAAATAAACAAAAACTGTAAACATCAATTGACAAAATAGCTGTTGTTAAGTTTTTGTAGTAAACGTTGCAGTAACCTGTGGAATGATCATATGCATGCACTTTATATTTTCAATTGATGTTAATGTAATGTTGTTCATTAACTCTACTTTTTTCCTTCAGAATAATCACCCTTCAGCTATTCATGTGAGAGCGTCTGTGCCGATGCGATTCCCACCTCCCTTCCCCGAGCGTCTGTCCCCCAATAACCTGCTCAGCATCGCTGTGAGTCCCACATCACTTCAGAGTCAAAGCAAATAAAGCAGCCTGATGGGGGCGCTATGATACAGTCCAGCGTTATGCATCAATGCATTATTTACTCAACCTGGACTCTTCTTTAGGGGATGTCTAATATCAACAAAAACCTAAAATTTTTCACTTATTTCAAACAGTATCCAAGAAAATAATCATTTAAAATCTTCTAATTATAATCCAATGTGTTTCCTTCAGAAATCGCCTTTGTCTCATTCTCCGTTCCCTGCTGGTGTCAATCCTGTTTTGTCTCAAATACAAAGAGCTCAACTGCTTAACTCTCAGGTGGGTTATCATTTAAGCTGGCCACAGATTTTAACTAAAATTGCTTTCTTTAAACTTACATTTGAGAGATATTTTAAAGAGATTTCTAAATTCTGGAACCTAAATTCAAATTAATTGTCTTTTTTAATTATTTTTATTTGCCACTATCCTTCAAACCGCTCTGTCAAACCTATTTTTCAACTAGAAGTTTTTTTATTCATTTCAAATAATATGTAGTATAATCGACATAAATGTGTATATAGTGGACATTCTGTACATTTATAATGCTTTACTGTAATGTAATGAGGTAGGAGTGATTCTACAGTGATTCCATCATGTGTCTGTTTGCGTTCAGGTTGGTCAGTTCCAGCGTGGTCCGGCTCCTCCATTATTACAGGGAGGTGTTGGGGGTTTCAGGCCATTTTTTGGTCAATCTGGGCCTAGAATAGGTCCTCACGGGCCTCCTCTGGGCCATGCACCCATCCGACACAACACCACCCACCTGCACCCACAGCACCGCAGGATGCTCAGCCAGAGGATGCAGAACAGAGGGTGAGCACTGTCAATCATTTCTCTGCTGGAAGGTGCCCTATAAAGGAAGTCTGGGAATACTTAGGCATAGTCGTATAATAAAACATCAGTATGTGGAAATAACCCTGGCGGCACAATATATAATTTCAGCATCGCTATTGTATCTGCCATCACATTGTAGGATCTGCAATATTGAGTTATTGAGGGATTATAGTTGATCAGCATCACAGTTCACAATACAAGACACATGGGAAGTCATTACAGAGATTAAACAATAGAACGAAATGCAAGTGTTTTAAAGGCAGTTCAAGAGAGTTTGGGCACAAAAAATGACAACATTTGTAACTTTATTAAAGTATAATTTTACTGAATTATTAATATAAAGAAAACTATAAAGAGTTATTTTACATTATTACATTTTATTATTCAATTTCTGCACCTGAATACTGCTTGACAAAAAGGTGTTCAAGTCATCTGGGGAAATTGTATTCATATCGCAGAATGAACAAAATATCGCAATGTCAGACACCGCAAGCCTCGGTCACCATTGTTTCCAAGTTCTCATGTAAATTACTTGAATGTAAAACCCCGGTGGACAAAAGGCCAATCAAAACACAAAGCTGACTGATGCGTGACTGAATAAGATCTTTGCAGTATTTAATGAGCATATAAAACAGTTTCTGGAGATTTTTTTTAAACTTGCATAAGCCACATACCTACTATATATGTAATATTTAATATATATCAGAGAACTATTTAACTTTAAGAACCAATGCAGTATATTAAACTGCTCTGAAATGTCTTGTGTAAATGTCTGTCTCTCTCTTATCCTTTCAGTGATCATGTTGGCGGTAGAGGTGTTGGAGAAAGGAAAAACCGAGATCCTTACAGCAATTTAATGACTCAAAGAGAGAAGGAATGGGTGGCCAAAATCCAGATGATGCAGCTTCAAAGCACCGATCCATATCTGGATGATTACTATTACCAGGTAATCACACTTTTATCCACACACACACACACACACACACACACACACACATAAACACACACTCTTGGGCCCTTATTTTAAATGGAAAGTTTTGGCATATTGCCCATGGCGTTTGACATACTACTAATATGTATCTATTTTAAACATCACTTCTGTTTAAATTAGAAGCTTTTAAAACTTAAACTTAATTTGAAATACTTCAAACATGCAGCTTTGTAAAATATTAAACTTTGGTACTTTTATTTATTCTTTAGATGGCTGTTTAGCTGATTTAAGCACTTTTTCATGCTTTTTAAATCAGTTTTGAATTGAATTATTTTTTAAACAATCATCAGAATATATTTGAAAATTGAATCTAAAATGCTTTTTTTTAATAACCTTTTTTAAATTGTACATTTAGTTTTAGTAATTTACTTTGAGATCATCTTGAAGATAGTATGATGTGGCATTTAAAAAGTGAATAAAATATTTATTTTATTTATTTATACAACCACATTGTTGTAAACGTGGTTAAAATGTTGTTATCGTTGTCTCATGATGTTTATCCTTTCTTATTTTGCAGAATTACTATGAGAAGATGGAGAAGCGTCAGGAGCGGGACAGAGACAACAGGAAGGAGCACACCACCAAACTCATCACCCCTCAGGTGGCCAAACTGGAGCACACCTATCGACCTGGTAAGAACAACATGGAGAAGTCTCATAACTTTAAGCGGGGGCAAAAATGTTTATCTTGTTATTGGAAATTAAAGCGATTGGTTCACCTTAAAAAATAAAAAATAATACAAAATCTGTCATTATTTCCTCACCCTTTACTTGTTCCATTCCAGTTTGAGTTGCTTTTGAGTTGTCGTTGAATACATAAGAAGATATTTTGAAGAAAGCTGGACACCTGTAATTATTGACTTCCATATTAGCAAGTCAATGGTTTCAGGTTTCTTTCTTCAGTATATCTTCTTTTGTGTTCAACAGAAGAAAGAGAGTCATATTGATTTGAAACAAGTAGAAGGTGAGTAAATAATGACAGAATTGTTATTGTTTGGGTTAACTAATCTCTATAATTGCACATTTGTGATTTGTTCAAATGGTCTAATACTCTGTATGGTTGTGTTTGCTTCACAGTGCAGTTTGCAGGCTCATTAGGAAAACTCACTGTCTCCAGTGTCAACAATCCAAGGAAAATGATTGATGCAGTGGTCACCTCTCGCAGTGATGATGAGGTCAGCAATCTGAACACCCCGCAACCTTTTATTTAAAACCACTTATATGAGGCTTTTCCTCCTATTATTACTTAACAAACAAAGGTTTATCAGAGTAATAACTACATGCAGTCATTTTGAAATATTTTTCTGTGTATTTGACCATTTAGGCACGCACACTAATCTAAAAAGGGATTTTATATGTCTCTGTTTTGCCCTGCTTCTGTTGCTGCACAGAACAGCACAAGTTCTCTTTCCTGAATAACATTAAAAAAACAAGAATAAATCTTTTGCACTTCAATGAATCATGCAGATGCTGCAGTCACATTACATGATATAGATATGCAGAGGAATTAATTAATAATCATTTTAGTAATAGTTTTAACTTGATTACTGTTTTTTGTTTCATTTTCAAATGCATGGAGTTCAGTCTAACCAAATATGTATGTATATGTAAAAAAAAACAAATATGTAAAAAAAAAATAATAATAATTATATATATATATATATATATATATATATATATATATATATATATATATATATATATATATATATATAATAAAAAGACCTGGTCCTGAAAAAGTCATATAGTTTTGACTAGGCATTTTCCAGGCCTGGAAAAGTTTTGGAAAGGTAAATAAACCCAAAATGTTTTGGAAAAGTCATGGAAATTTGTTTAACAAGTATCTGTGTACTTGAATATATTTGAGATGATAATATTGTCTAAATTTCAAATACAATTGCGATATCTGTCTTTTCATGTGACATTCTCTGTGTGGGGCAAAAGCAACTTGCAGTTTCAGCTTCACTTCTCTTTCACTTACATTCATCGTAATTCAAGATACATTTGAGTGTCATGTCCAGAAACAATCTCTTAATACAGAGGTAAGATAATGCGGGTGTTAAAGGCTAATTTGTGCTAATTTAATACGTTTTGTGAAGACACAAGCCATCATTTCTAAATAAAAAAAATTCACACAAGATATTTTTTAAACTATTTTACACGAATAAAATAAACATAAACTACACAGATTGTCACATTTTTTTGATGTGCTTTGATAAATTTGAACATACGTTTTTTTTTTCTTTTTTACCACATGTATGTAGACATTGCATGAAACATTAGGTCATGAATATTTAACTGAAGGTTTTGTAAAAGTGCTGTAATTTTTTAAAATGTGTATGGACCCTGTTTACAAAAATGTTAAAATGTCCACAGATTTTGTCTAGAACTATTAATGTGATGCTGCTTCATGATGAAGGATGTTATAAAAGTCTTATGTCATGGAATGGTGTAGTGCCTTAATCGCTGTTTTATGTAACAGGAAAAAAGAGAGAAGCAGGTGTGGAATAAAAGACGGCAAATCCTTTACACTGTGGAGAAGGTAAGAGTAGAGGGAATTAAGGGGAAAGTTTACCCAAACATTTAAATTCTGTCATCATTTACTCACACTCTACTTGTTTCAAACCTTTGAGTTTCTTTTTCTTCCCAAAAGAAGATGTTTTGAAGAATGCTGGAAACCTGTAACCATTGACTTCCATAGTAGGAAATACAAATACCATGCCAATCAATGGTTACAGCTTTTTAGCTTTCTTCAAAATATCTTCTTTTGTGTTCAACAGTAGAAAGAAACTCAAAGTTTAGAACCACTTGAGGAAATAATGAGTATATTGTCATTTTGGGGGTCAACAATTATTTTTATGTGCATTTTTGTTCTTATTCATCACAATATGTCCTGTGTATTTTGTTGTGCAGATGTACAGTCTATTACTAGAAGTGCAAGACTTTGAGAAGAAGTTTTTGCAGACGCCTGAGCACCAAAGAGACGTTCTGCTAGAACAGCATAAAACCCACACGCTTCAGCTCTACAACTCGCTCCGGGAAAAAGAGTGGGACGACCGGTGAGTAAAATAAAAACAGCAGACAATATTATGTCCAACACTCTACACCCTAAAATTAACAAATTCTATTCTAATGACGTTTCAATGGCTGGAGACACGTTTGTTTTGTCAACTCTCGTTCCCCTAATAATAACACATTCTATTCTAGTAACGATTCAATGTTTTAAAAAAGTGCATTCTGTGCTAGGGCTGCACGATATTTGAAAAAAAACGTACATTTTATATATACAAAATAAAATACATTAAAGCACAGATGAAACGGAGCAAAATTAATGTTTTTTGCTGGAGTCTAACAGTATTGAGGAACAGAAATGTAATAATCAAATGTAAATTAACTCTACTTTCTACATAAGTCTACATTGTATAAATTTGTAAACACAATCCTTGTTAAAGTGGCAAACGTCATCATTCGTTGTGCTCAAAGGGTTTAAATTCACTTGAAATTGCTTGACGTTCTGCAATGTGACTATTGCTGATTTGTACATTGGAATATTAATGCAGAAATTGCATATTGTGCAACCCTATTCAGTGTCAATCCATTTTATTTTGGTAATTTCTCAGTGGTTGAAGACAGGTCTGTTTCATCAACACTTGGTCCCCTATAGACCTTTTTCTTGCTGCATGGAGGGCGCCATTGCGACCAGCGTCTTCCGGTAGAATGGTTAGAACTTCCGTTTACAAATAGATTTCAAAATCGTTTTTAATAGATTGCGGAGTGTTTTTGTGACGCACAACTTAGAAATGTGTCTGTTAAAGCCGTTATAATCTGTCAGATGTGGTTTAAGCGCGTCACAAACACGAGAAAAACGTACTCCTAGTTCACGTGTCTGCCGTCAGAAATACAGTGTGTGTGTGTGTGTGTGTGTGTGTGTGTGTGTGTGCGTGTGTTCCTAGCCTGTAAGCTGTCAGCTCAGTGGCTCTTTAATACACACACAATACTTCACTGCATTATAGAGTAAACCAGATTACTGGCATGAAACTGATACTCTGCTGGCTGATTTGCTTTTCATTCTAATCATGAGCTGTTTATGTTTCATTTAGTGTGTTGTTTTCACCACAGTTTGTATTTGAAAGGAAGAGAAACTGTTGACTTTAGCGATGACAAGGCTTCATTTAAACGGCAGAAGATGCCATCTGACAACGAGGGGGAAATGCCTCGCAGCAGCTGTTTTCCATCATACTAGATCGCATTTCTTTAAACAATCAGTCCAGGAGATGGTGCTGATGGACAACAGGATTAGTTCATAGATGATAAAAGCAGGTAAAACAGATTAAAACTATCGTTTCAAAGCTGTCTAAATGGGACTGTTTACACGCATCAGCTGCCGACCTGAAGTTCTTAGCATTTTCCTTGCACTTACACGCAAAGCATAATGGGTAATTTTGAGTGCTGAGAAAAAGGTCTTTAAAGAACACATTTTATTCTAAATCCATTCATTAGTTTGTTCTTGGGTTCAATGTGAGGCTGCATGATCAGCCTCAACCCTTTTGCACCTGGAGTTTCTGAGAAAACCATTGTGTTGCATTTAACCATCTGTTTCAAGCACAGCCCTATCTCCAAGGCCAATAAAATCCCCTCCCGTTCATCCGTTGAGCACATCAAAGGAGAAAAACAAGCCATTTTTAAACAACGTTTCCTCCATCTTTGTGCAGAGTGAGTGACGAGCAGTGCTTGATGATCATGTCTGTGCGTAAAGGGAAGCGGCTGATCTCCAGGCTCCTTCCCTTCCTGCCACAGCCTCAGGCTGCTGCCGTTGTCATGGGGATAGCCAGAAACCTTCCAGCTCTGGCCAAGAAAGACAAACAAGACCAGGTAAAAACACTGATGATGTGCAAATGCAGGTATTTGTGTGCATAAGAATGGGATGTGGAAAACCTTTAAATCGCCTGAACTCAATATAATTCATAATTCTCTGGGTGTGTGGGGTTTAGTGGTGACGGAGGGTTTGGCCACTTCATCCTTGTTATACATGCATTTAAAAATATATCTGTGCAAAAACATTTGGGGAATAAAAAATTAAAATGAAACTTAAATAATCATAATAATTAGTTTATAATAATTAAAGAACTGAGTTTTTTAATATTTCAGCTTGAAAAAGTTATATTTAACAATTATTGAAATTATAAGCTGATTAAAATGAAAATGTGTATAATATTTATATACATAATTAAAGGCTTGACGCTTTGTTAATGTGGTCGTGTGCATGTTTTGTTTTGTATTTCCTCAGGTGCTGTGTTGGCTGGTAGAGCCAGTGTCGGTGGTGATTCAATCCATGTCGAGTACCTCTCTCACAGATCTCCTCCAGGAGCTGCAGGGCAGTGAAGGACAGCTCCCTCTCGTGCTACAGAATAAGGTATCGCTGTCACACTTCAGCCCTGTTTACACTTGATATTAGCATGCATTTTCCGATATCTGATTACAAGTGATCAGCTAAGCTCATTACAGCGGCTCTACTTCTTCTGGAAATAGTCTATAGTAGTCACGATCAATGTATTTTAGACTTGAAGAGCACGTCATCCGGCATTTTTCAAGTGTGCCATTATTGTGCGGGATTTCAATACTGTCTGCTTGAATTGATTTGGGGTTCAGGTCTGCTATGATTGGTCAACTGGTCAAGTTTGATTTGATCGTTGTTGTTTTTTAACATATCTCTTCCATGTTGGAAGTGAAAAGCCTATTTTAAAGTGTTTCTATTTTGCCAGAAGGTGCAAATTAGGCAAACGTGTTACTTTGTAGATCAGATGCAAGCAAGAGACTTGAAAGTTTGTTTTCTTTCTTTTCAGAGACAATATATTTCTTTATCGTGCTCTGTTTTGATTAACAATATGCAGGCTATTTACATTAATGAATAGCGACATTACAATTACATTACAAACTGCAAATAAGATATCTTTTGAAAACCCATATGACCATGAAACCATATACTTTGTGTTGACATTGTGGTGGAAATTCACATTACACATTATGTACATATATACACATTATGAAGTCTGTTCTTCTTTCCTTTCTCTATGTATGCATTATTTAGTTAGACCCTGTGCGACCACTTTAACGACATAAGCAAAGTCACTAAACAAAAGAAGTTTGAGGTCTTTCTGAGTTACTCAGGGTAAAGCTTTTATTGTTACAAGCAGTTTGCAACAACAGAGACGATACGATAGTACGTCTGTTTGATCAAGCTCGTTCACACAGTTTTATGCATGCGCTACTCCTCTCTTACACTCATAGTTTGACATTTCATACATCATGGGCCCTTTCATACACCCGGCGCAGTGTGTCGCAAGGCGCGGCGCAATAGTCTTTTGGTAGTTTCAGCTTGGCGTAAGAGTCGTTTTGAGGCGTTGCGCTACGCTGTTTAAATAGCAAATGCATTAGCGCTCATTTGTGCTATTATAGGCGTTCTGGTCTAAAAAGGGAGGCGTTCTGAGGCGCACTGCTGGTGCGTTGCTATTTTGAGAAACTATAATAGATTTTTCATTAGACCAAAACTAACCCGGTCTAAACTCCAGCGCAGAGTTGCGCCTCGCTTACGCACTGCTTAATACACAAGAGAGCAATAGGCAAATATCTTTACATATGAAAAAATGTAAATATTAAGGATATATATAGGATATAATAAGAATAGATATAGGATATAAATATAAAGGATTAAAATATTACAAAACATATTATTTTCTAGCCTACATAAATATGAAAAACCACTGCTTTTATGTCTTCTTCATCTCGGGAGGCTTTTTCAGTTCATTCATAACAATTTGCTTTTGTATAATGTCATTATTATTAGCAGTATTATTTATTATATCCATATTTAAATTTATTTAATTAAAAACAGGCTTAGATTTGCCCACCTGTCAGGTTTTAGACCATATGGGGCACAGCATGTGTTTTAGGATATAACTCAGGTTTTTGAACATATTTTGTTATTATTGTTCATTTATTCGTTTGCTGGAAATTATAACTGAATTTAGAAATAGTTTTGAAATGAATATTTGCGCTTAACAAACGCAATTAATTATTTATAGACTAATCGATGTCTGTTCGTAAAGGTTTCCCTATCCAAGAGCAAATGTGAAAGTGATCCATTATCTCTCATTCTCACGCAGTAGATGCTCTGTTTAACAGTTTTCTTTTAAAAAAAAAATGTGAACTGTTTGCTTGTGAAATGCTCAGTTTTTCCACTTAGACTTACTTTGCGTCCTGTAAATAGTGAATGCGCTCTTGGCGTGACGCAGCTGGCTCTTAAAGGGAATGGGAGATGAGACTCTAATTGGTTTATTTTCAAAACACACCAATAACTCATTAAGGAAATAAACTCAACCCTTTTAGACCATGCGCCATGGCGCAAAGCGGATTTTCCCGTCCTTAAATTAGCAAAAACGCGTTCTTACACGCCCTGAAAGCGTTTGCGCCCTGCGTTTTGCGCTCTGCGCATGGACTGTCAAAATAGAGCCCCATGTCTTAGTAGTATCTACTACTAAGTTATCAATCTTAATTTCTATGTCCCAGCTGCATCCTGCTTCTCCAGACCAGGCCACTGTATCCCCTGTGTATAGCGTTAATTGTTCTTTAACCCATGGTTACCCTTTCCATGACATCTATATGCAAGTCACTGTATTATGAATAATAGCTCCTCTATGAGATTAGGGACAATATGAGTGGTCTGGCAGGGGTGCCTTCGAGGACTGCAAGGCATATAATGATTTCATAATGATTTTACATTTAGATATGCCCCATATATTTCTAATAGAAGCTGTAAATAACAGACATATGTAAGATAATACCACAGAACACACTTCCAACAGGGTAAAAGTGTATACGGCACAGGTGTCAAACTCAGTTCCAAAAGGGCTGCAGCTCTGCACAGTTTTGTTCCAACCCTAATAAACACACCTGATCAAACTAATTGAGTCCTTCAGGCTTTTTTGAAACCTACAGGTAAAGGCTGATTTATACTTCTGCGTCAAACGCCGGCAAATGCTACTGCGCTGACGCCATGGCGTCGCTGACGTGCACCTCTCAAAAAATTTAACTACACGTCGCAACAACGCGTAGCGCAAGCTCTGTGATTGGTCGGCTTGGTAGCGCTGACGAGTCTGGGCGGGACCGAGACCCACGCGAATGGCGCGAGCGATTGTTTACAAGTGTGGAGTCCCGTGAAGGAGCTCCGGATGGAAAGTTTTGTTTTGTGTTTACCTCATAGTTAAAGTTGTTGCACGCCCGCCGGTTCCTGCCTCAAAATGAGCGAGTTTGAGTCACTTGTACATCCAGGAAGTGTTCAGGAAAAGCAAAACAGAAGCGAAGAAACTCGACACAGAGGAACATTTACACCTCACTGCCAACTAGCGTTTCGGAAGTGTTAATGCAGACCAACAGTGACAGCGCGCAGAAGTATAAATGCACAGCTGCGCGCGTTGCCTGCGCCGTGAGTTACGCCGGTCACTTGACGCAGAAGTATAAACCAGACTTAAGTGTGTTGGAGCAGGGTTGGAACTAAACTGTGCAGGGCTTCGGCCCTCCAGGAATTGAGTTTGACACCCCTGATATACGGCATGAGCAGCAGCATATGGCTTTGGGGTAATGAGTGGAATGACTTATACCTTCATTAGCACATTCACATAGTCAGTCACAAACACAAAAATTTCACAATACCAGGTGTAAACCAAGCCTTTGTTTATATATTTCTATAGTGCAGAGTCTCCTCTAGGTTTCTGATGAAGTAAACCAGTAATGTTTGTCTTATATATGGCTATTTGTTACTATGAATGAATGCCCTGTGTTGTGTTCATCAGTTTGGCGTGACGCTGCTCTATCTGATTCTGAGTGAAGGAGAGCGAATGCAGAGCTCTGATCCAAACTGTCAACTCATGGACGACAACCGCTGGTGAGTGTCTGAGCGTCTTTAACACCCTGGGTTTGTAATGTAATGTAAAACATGTCATTTCGAATAATTGCTGTTATTTTGCTCTTGCTCTTTTCTTTAAAGAATGCTAAGGAGTGAAATGTAATGGCTTTCAGCATTAAAGTTCCCCCAAAAATGCATAAAAAAGGTTTTCAAGGGATTCTAGGTGTATATGGCTTTCTTCTCAGTTGAATGCAGTCAAGAGTTACTTTAACAATTATCTTGTGCATTTCCAGATTGGCAGTGGTCAACTAATTATTATTAGCAGTCCAAATTAAGTTTTCACTTTTGCATGTGCATCTATAATACAAAATACTTCACGGTAACAGTTCTATTATGATCAATTATTGAGGCTAGTAAATCATTGACAATTATAAATAGCTACTTTATAGGGTTATTTTTCCCTTAAATGTGAATAATATCATAACAAAAAGTGCTTCATGAGCTTTAATGGTTAAATATAGGTGTCAATTAGTAAATGTAAGAGTTTTTAAAAGAAAATTGTCCTTTTTTTAAACCTTTATAAACCATTTTGTTGAACTTTTGTCTATCTCGTCTATTGTTGTGATGCATTAGCATTTGTTTTTCTTCTCTATCTCTTGAGTGTAAAACGTGCACAGTTGAAATGAGCAAGAAAGTACAGTGAAGAGAGACTAAATGCAATCCTATCCAACTGATATTTTTGTTTTTAAGTGAACTAACCCTTTAATTCTGAGTAATGATAATTGATCATAATAGAGCTGCAAATCATCATCATATTAGAGTGATTCCTGAGGGATCATGTGAAACTGAAGAGTGGAGTAATAATGCTTAAAATCAGCTTTGACTCACAGGAATAAATTACATTTTATACCATATTCAATACGAAGACCTATTTCACAAATTGACTGTTTTCACTGTAATGTTGATATACTAAAGAGCCGGTTACTTTTAAACTGTATAAACAAGAACAAAAGGCTTTACAGTGGCTAGCGTAGCAGTATTTCATTCATTCTGGTTTTGTCAGTGGTGTTTAATGCATCTGATAATGTTTTATCCTGTATTTATTCTTTTGTCCAGGACTGAATTGGTGTTCTCTGTGACCCGGGAGTTGCTGAAGGTCCCATCCTCTGCTCTCTCATCACCGCTGTTCACTCCTCCAAACCTGGTGTCTCTGTTCTCTCGATATGTGGACCGCCAGAGACTTGAACTCTTACAGGAGAAACTACAGTGAGTTTGTGCTCCAAAACATACTGTCGCCGCTGTTTTCTTACTGGCACTCTCTTAGGAGCATGAGAGTGTGTGGATATGTTTGGAGAAAAAGTGAAAAAAAATTTTTTTTTAAATAAGTCAAGCAAAGCAAGTCTAAAATGGCCACCTAAGTTTCAATTTAGTTTACACCAATTCTCGGTTATTCTATACAGGGATATACATAATTGTAGTCAACAATAATAATACACACTACATGACAAAACTCTTGTCGTCAATCCCAGTTGTAAAAGCAGCAAATAATAACTTGACTTCTAGTTGATCACTGGATAAGGTGGCAGAAGGTCGATTTTTATTTATTTATTTATTTTGATTTTTTTCTTGAATCATCTGCATCCCAGTCATAACAATTACTGCAGAAGACTTATTGGAACCAGCATGGACCCAAGATTTTCATAGAAATCAGTCAAGTTTGGTGAAGGAAAAAAATCATGGTTTGGGGTTACATTCAGTATGGGGGTGTGCGAGAGATCTGCAGAGCGGATGACCACATCAACAGCCTGACGTATCAAGACATTTGTGCTGCCCATTACATCACAAACCACAGGAGAGGGCAAACTCTCCAGCAGGATAGCGCTCCTTCTCAAACTTCAGCCTCCACATCAAAGTTCCTGAAAGCAAAGAAGGTGAAAGTGCTCCATGATTGGCCTGGCCAGTCACCAGACATGAACATTATTGAGCATGTCTGGGGTAAGATGAAGGAGGAGGCATTGAAGATGAATCCAAAGAATCTTGATGAACTCTGGGAGTCCTGCAAGAACGCTTTCTTTGCCATTCCAGATGACTTTATTAATCAGTGATTTGAGTCATTGCAGAGATGTATGGATGCAGTCCTCCAAGCTCATGGGAGTCAGACACAATATTCATTCTGTTTCCACTGCAGCAGGACTTTATATTCTATACTGGACATTGTTTTTGTTAAGTGACAAGACTTTTGTCTAAGCGAAGTGAGACCTTACTGTCCTAATGAAATAATTCAAAATCAAGGCATGATCACATTTTATTCTGGTAGAATAAGCATAATCTAGAGGCCTTTGCCATTCAAATAAGCCACTTTTGATACCAAATTTCAACTAAAAGTCAAGTTATTATTTGTTATTCATAAAACTTGGATTGGCGACAAGACTTTTGTCAAGACTATTTTAATTTTCATTTTGTTTTCCTTTTTATTTGAATATTATTTTTACTGTATAATTTCATTGTTAATTAAATATATATTATTTACAAAAATGTTTTTATTTAGCTAGATAAACACAAGGTTCAGGGTGTCCACAAGGTCCTAAAAAGTATTAAAGGTCGCTAAATCAATTATGAGAAAATTAAGGCACTTAAAAGGTATTTAAAAAGTCTTAATCACGTTTTTACGTGGTCTTAAATTTTGTTCAAGCATTGTCCATAGCATAAATATATTTATTTTCCTCCTAATATTAACTATACGGCATCCTCGATCCATGCGATTAGTTCAGGCTGGGGTGCGTCCGGCCAGGCGCCTTCGTCCGGGTGATGTCACATAATTTGCGGCAAACGCAGGAAGGTAATGTTACGCTCTCCACATGTATCAAAACTATAGAGCGAAACAGACGGCAAAATGGGAAAATGTAAGCTTGCGCACTCCTGGTTGGAAAAAGACGAGTTTAAACAATGGCTGAAGCCTGTCGCTAAAAACAACAACGTAATTTTTTCTTTCAAGCTTTGTTTCTTCCAAGCTTATCTAAGCTTTGTTACATGGTTGTGCTCTATACATTTATTTAACAACAACTGTTTATTAAGTTAAAGGTTTGATACTGATTAGAACTTGAAGTGGCGATGAGGTCCTAAAATATTCTGAGAAGGTCTTTAAAGGGCCATGAAACCCCCTCGTTTCAGCAGGGTGTTTTCACACCTTTACTTTGGAAAAAGTCGGAATAGTGGGCGTGGCCAGCTCTGTTTAGGGGGGAGTGTCGGAGGAACTAAAGTGGGAGGGTGTGGGAGTGTCTATTTGTACACGCGCGAGTTTCAGTCAAAATACACACAGGAGAAAGTGATTGTGTTTAACCTACATGGACATCTGTAGTCGAATTATTTGCCAAATTATTAAATGGTGGACTTTAACTGCAGTTTGGCTCTTTCATTCAGGGAATTCATTCATGCCCCTCGCGACAAACGCGATATTTGATTCGAGGATCTGCTCTAAGCGTGTATTTTTCATGCAATGTTTGATACCGCACGGTGAATGAGAGAAAAAAAACCTCCGCATTTCCCGGAAACTTAGATGCACACGGCAGGTAGCGTCAGAAAGCCGCGTGTGTTATTCCGGTCACAAAATGCGGTGCTAACATGTTTGCACTCAGTGCAACAGTTAACTTAATTCGATACGAACAAACTGAATAAACAAAGAGCACTGGTCGCTCACTTACCAAATCTGTAGAGACAGGACAATCACCAGCAACTAGAGCCGCGTCTTTATGAAGAGGAGACTAACGTTACAAGCGAATCCGGATTTCAGCGTTTGCAGATGAGAACAGCTCTCAGGTAAACAATGATCCTCCTTAGACACGTAAGTTATTGTTGTCGAGCGTCGCGTACACTGTTAATCCACACGTGATCCAGATGAGCTCTCTCAGAGAGAAAATGAAAACGAAACTTAATGGCAGCAAACTATAAAAGCAACACTTCACGCTTGTTTTGCCAAAACAACGTGGCGTCTCTGTGGCGTAAACACGATGACACTAATGAATATTAATGAAGTTGCACAATGGAGCGCGCTGATTGGTTTGAACCAAGCCTTACTCATGCATTAATGCAACACACTGTAAGACGTAATAAGACTCACTTTGGCACAGACGCCCAGTCTGCACGCTGGAATACAACACTAATATGTCATGACCGTGACGCAGCTTCAAAAATTCGTTTCAAACAGGAAGTACGAATTAGCTTGAAATAACGCAAAAACAACCAATTTACTCTTTTTAGTGAAATATATGTGTCCTAATAGTGTTTTTAGCAGTGTGGGACACACATACGACTGTCAACAGCTCAAAAATGTGTTTTGGTGTTTCGTGACCCTTTAAAAAGTCTTAAAAAGGTATTGGAATTACCTACAGGATTCCTGCTTATACCCTGAGGTTTAATTTTTGCTTGGTTTTGTAACCCCAAATTTACTCTGCAATCCTGAGTTTGTTCAACTAGTTTTGTGAACTAGACCTCAGGACATCATTTGGGTCTTTCCATTTTGACTGATTATTTTCGTTTTTTTTTCCCCTCAGGATTACGGCTTTGTCCAGGTAGAAGTGACTCCACATGTGGCCGATGCTGAGAGACTGACTGTTAATGTATTTGTGAAAGAGCCGTCTTATATGTGCTATGTACTGGAGGGTGAGGTCAGGTCACTTTTCCTTTCTCGTTATAAGAGTCACAATAGATAAGAATAATGTTTCAAAACTGTTGTCCATAGGTTTGTCCATAAAGGCGATCGGGTATATGTATTTTAGCTTCCATTAGGGTCAGCGGAGCCGCGGAAAGGCTCGATCATAAAAGCATCAGACCTTATTTATAGACACACATAGAATTAAGGAGACCTTTTGCTGTACATTAATATCTTAATTTTTCTTAAACACTGCAGCTTGTTGAGGTATGTTTGCAATCGAGTGACTGTACAAGTGTGTCTGTGAGTTTAAATGAAGGTTTAAACTAAAGGTATTCTTCATTTTTAAATATCTGCCTGTGATAAATCATGGAATTAAAACTTTCTATTATACAAAGTTCGGTGTGGGGTTTTTTCTGGGTTTTTCTTATGCATTTTTACAGTCACACAGATGCACAGAACACAATAAAATATTGTATTATGATTAGGGTTGCATAATATATAATTTCAGCATTAATATCGCAATGCAATCATCAGCAATACTCGCATCGCAAGAAATGCAATGTTGAGAGTGAATTATACTTGACCAGGAGCTACAGAATTGTATTTAGTTACAGTATTTATGCAAAAATATATAAATAAATTAGTTTCTTCTTTCTTTTGCAAATTTAAAACCAAAAACAAGATTATTTTGCTAACCCCACTGGCAGATTATTTAGCTTGTTTTAAGAAAAAACTCTTCATTTTGACCTATTTTTTCTTTAAAAGTTAAAAACCAAACGATATTTATACTTGCTCTATTTTTTGTTATTTGGTCTAAAAATATTAATAATAATAACAATTATTTACATTTATAAAGTGCTTCTCTGGACAATCAAAGCAATTTATACATTTTTGAGGGGGAATCTTACCACCACCAGTGTGCTGCATCCACCTGGATGAAGTGACGATAAAATATGAATAAAATGTTATGTGTTCTTTGGAGGAGTGCACTTGCATTGTAATGATATTATATTGTCATTTTGGCATTATATATTGAGGCATAAAATGGTCTTAAAATGACAATAATATTGTTTATCGCGATATATTTTTGTGCAATATATCATACAACAAAAATATATATATATATATATATATATATATATATATATATATATATATATATATATATATATATATATATATATATATATATATATATATATATATATATATATATATATATATATATATATATATATATATATATATATATATATATATATATATATATATATATATATATATATATATATATATATATATATATATATATATATATATATATATATATATATATATATATATATATATATATATATATATATATATATATATATATATATATATATATATATATATATATATATATATATATATATATATATATATATATATATATATATATATATATATATATATATATATATATATATATATATATATATATATATATATATATATATATATATATATATATATATATATATATATATATAT